AAGAGTACTGCTAGTCCTGAGTACTACTACGATACAGACAACCGCAACGTTAAATCAAACGGCGATGACATAGCGGGCAAGTCGTACCATGCGGAATTCTATAAGAGGACGTACGAGCACAATAGAGGATTGAATCATCACCGCATCTTTTATGGTAGCAATGGCCACACTTGGTGGAACGACTCACACCAACAGTCGCATCCAGATTTTGAAGACAAATCTCGCAGGTCTATGAAGTGTTAACTTCGTCACTAGTTGGCGCATCAAAGTACTTGACTACGACCTTAGATGGTCGTAGTTTACCGTTCATAGAGTACAACAAAAGGCTCCAAGGAGAGTATCGATGCCAGTCCACACCAACCCAGGATCACTTCGACGAACAGCGTAGAGAGTAGCAATACTTATCATTGGCAGAACCACCTATAGGAAGGCAAGGGCTACTCGTGGGAACTGGAGCAACTCTTGGAGTCAAGATGGATACAGGCTAGCTGTACTACGAATATATAAAGGAGTTGAACCTGTGTGCACGAGAATAATAAGTCGCAAGAAGGATGCGAGGCTGACAACTTGCACGCATCATCGACGACTTCGGCGCGCTTTCCCGCGCGCTCGCCTAAATAAGCGGAGATGTTCCGTGCAGGGATCGAACTCGACTACGAGCTGTATCACTGCGTTGAATTCCGAGGTCAACGCAAATGGGGTATATCGCAGCTTAGATATGGGTCAACTTACAGTTTTATCAATGGAACGGTATGGATTATGGCACCAAAGCATAGCACCGAACGGTTAGAAAAGAAGATTACGGATAACCGGAATCACCAGTCACTCGTAATCTGCGGAGTTGCTCAACCCAACATTTACTGATTGTTGAAACTCTAACGAACCACGCCCATGCGTCGCGGACGTTTAGACGATGCATTAATCGTAGGTGACCTACGGTAGGTCGCTTGGGCGAAGTAGCAGACATGGCTCATGATCGATTAACGCTTTTACGTCGGAGAGTTGAAGGCTGCCACATCTGATCACACTATCCATATTTCGCTAATCTCAATCGCGGCTGTTACTTGCGAATGATCCAGTTTACGATGTATGACGAATAATCCCCACCCCCGAACGCCATAGAGAGGGCGCGAACTCTGATGGCGGTTGGCGAGGCGATTGGTGCGAGCCGAGCCTCGAGTCATGTGAAGAAATGCGAGAGTACTCTAATCGCATCTACCAGAGCTTCGTCTCTGAGTAATAGAGATTCGTGAGGCAGCAAAAACTAACTCGAATCGCTGTGTTAAGGTATGAGCGCCGTCACTGGTCTTAGGAGCAGTGTTGATCACAGCTGATAACTTACTCGACTTACTCGATAACTTACTTGCTTGAT